CATGGTGATGTGGAGTAGACATCACTTAGTGAGTCTCCTGACACACCGGGGACACACGGTGATGTAGAGGAGACATCACTCTGTGAGTCTCCTGACACACCGGGGACACATGGTGATGTAGAGGAGACATCACTCTGTGAGTCTCCTGACACACCGGGGACACATGGTGATGTAGAGGAGACATCACTCTGTGAGTCTCCTGACACACCGAGGACACATGGTGATGTAGAGGAGACATCACTCTGTGAGTCTCCTGACACACCGGGGACACATGGTGATGTAGAGAAGACATCACTTTGTGAGTCTCCTGACACACCGGGGACACATGGTGATGTAGAGGAGACATCACTCTGTGAGTCTCCTGACACACCGGGGACACATGGTGATGTAGAGAAGACATCACTTTGTGAGTCTCCTGACACACCGAGGACACATGGTGATGTAGAGGAGACATCACTCTGTGAGTCTCCTGACACACCGGGGACACATGGTGATGTAGAGAAGACATCACTTTGTGAGTCTCCTGACACACCGGGGACACATGGTGATGTAGAGGAGACATCACTCTGTGAGTCTCCTGACACACCGGGGACACACGGTGATGTAGAGAAGACATCACTCTGTGAGTCTCCTGACACACCGAGGACACATGGTGATGTAGAGAAGACATCACTCTGTGAGTCTCCTGACACACCGGGGACACACGGTGATGTAGAGAAGACATCACTCTGTGAGTCTCCTGACACACCGAGGACACATGGTGATGTAGAGAAGACATCACTCTGTGAGTCTCCTGACACACAGAGGACACACGGTGATGTAGAGGAGACATCACTTAGTGAGTCTCCTGACACACCGGGGACACATGGTGATGTAGAGAAGACATCACTTTGTGAGTCTCCTGACACACCGGGGACACATGGTGATGTAGAGAAGACATCACTTTGAGAGTCTCCTGACACACCGGGGACACACGGTGATGTGGAGAAGACATCACTTTGTGAGTCTCTTGACACACCGGGGACACATGGTGATGTAGAGGAGACATCACTTTGTGAGTCTCCTGACACACCGAGGACACATGGTGATGTAGAGAAGACATCACTTTGAGAGTCTCCTGACACACCGGGGACACACGGTGATGTGGAGAAGACATCACTTTGTGAGTCTCTTGACACACCGGGGACACATGGTGATGTAGAGGAGACATCACTTTGTGAGTCTCCTGACACACCGAGGACACATGGTGATGTAGAGAAGACATCACTCTGTGAGTCTCCTGACACACCGAGGACACATGGTGATGTAGAGGAGACATCACTTAGTGAGTCTCCTGACACACCGGGGACACATGGTGCTGTAGAGGAGACATCACTCTGTGAGTCTCCTGACACACCGAGGACACATGGTGATGTAGAGAAGACATCACTTAGTGAGTCTCCTGACACACCGAGGACACATGGTGATGTAGAGAAGACATCACTTAGTGAGTCTCCTGACACACCGGGGACACACGGTGATGTAGAGGAGACATCACTCTGTGAGTCTCCTGACACACCGAGGACACATGGTGATGTAGAGAAGACATCACTTAGTGAGTCTCCTGACACACCGAGGACACATGGTGATGTAGAGGAGACATCACTCTGTGAGTCTCCTGACACACCGAGGACACATGGTGATGTAGAGAAGACATCACTCTGTGAGTCTCCTGACACACCGAGGACACACGGTGATGTAGAGGAGACATCACTCTGTGAGTCTCCTGACACACCGGGGACACATGGTGATGTAGAGGAGACATCACTTAGTGAGTCTCCTGACACACCGGGGACACATGGTGATGTAGAGAAGACATCACTCTGTGAGTCTCCTGACACACCGAGGACACATGGTGATGTAGAGGAGACATCACTTTGTGAGTCTCCTGACACACCGGGGACACATGGTGATGTGGAGAAGACATCACTTTGTGAGTCTCCTGACACACCGGGGACACATGGTGATGTAGAGGAGACATCACTTTGTGAGTCTCCTGACACACCGGGGACACACGGTGATGTAGAGGAGACATCACTCTGTGAGTCTCCTGACACACCGGGGACACATGGTGATGTAGAGGAGACATCACTCTGTGAGTCTCCTGACACACCGAGGACACATGGTGATGTAGAGGAGACATCACTTAGTGAGTCTCCTGACACACCGGGGACACATGGTGATGTAGAGAAGACATCACTCTGTGAGTCTCCTGACACACCGAGGACACATGGTGATGTAGAGGAGACATCACTCTGTGAGTCTCCTGACACACCGGGGACACATGGTGATGTAGAGGAGACATCACTCTGTGAGTCTCCTGACACACCGGGGACACATGGTGATGTAGAGGAGACATCACTCTGTGAGTCTCCTGACACACCGAGGACACATGGTGATGTAGAGGAGACATCACTTAGTGAGTCTCCTGACACACCGGGGACACATGGTGATGTAGAGGAGACATCACTTAGTGAGTCTCCTGACACACCGGGGACACATGGTGATGTGGAGAAGACATCACTTAGTGAGTCTCCTGACACACCGGGGACACATGGTGATGTAGAGGAGACATCACTTAGTGAGTCTCCTGACACACCGGGGACACATGGTGATGTAGAGGAGACATCACTTAGTGAGTCTCCTGACACACCGGGGACACATGGTGATGTAGAGAAGACATCACTCTGTGAGTCTCCTGACACACCGAGGACACACGGTGATGTAGAGGAGACATCACTCTGTGAGTCTCCTGACACACCGGGGACACACGGTGATGTAGAGAAGACATCACTTAGTGAGTCTCCTGACACACCGGGGACACATGGTGATGTAGAGGAGACATCACTCTGTGAGTCTCCTGACACACCGGGGACACATGGTGATGTAGAGGAGACATCACTCTGTGAGTCTCCTGACACACCGAGGACACATGGTGATGTAGAGGAGACATCACTCTGTGAGTCTCCTGACACACCGAGGACACATGGTGATGTAGAGGAGACATCACTTAGTGAGTCTCCTGACACACCGGGGACACATGGTGATGTAGAGGAGACATCACTCTGTGAGTCTCCTGACACACCGGGGACACATGGTGATGTAGAGAAGACATCACTCTGTGAGTCTCCTGACACACAGAGGACACATGGTGATGTGGAGAAGACATCACTTAGTGAGTCTCCTGACACACCGAGGACACATGGTGATGTAGAGGAGACATCACTCTGTGAGTCTCCTGACACACCGGGGACACATGGTGATGTAGAGAAGACATCACTCTGTGAGTCTCCAGACACACCGGGGACACATGGTGATGTAGAGGAGACATCACTTTGTGAGTCTCCTGACACACCGGGGACACATGGTGATGTGGAGAAGACATCACTCTGTGAGTCTCCTGACACACCGAGGACACATGGTGATGTAGAGGAGACATCACTCTGTGAGTCTCCTGACACACCGAGGACACATGGTGATGTAGAGAAGACATCACTCTGTGAGTCTCCTGACACACCGAGGACACATGGTGATGAAGAGAAGACATCACTCTGTGAGTCTCCTGACACACCGAGGACACATGGTGATGTAGAGGAGACATCACTCTGTGAGTCTCCTGACACACCGGGGACACACGGTGATGTAGAGAAGACATCACTCTGTGAGTCTCCTGACACACCGAGGACACATGGTGATGTAGAGGAGACATCACTCTGTGAGTCTCCTGACACACCGAGGACACATGGTGATGTAGAGAAGACATCACTCTGTGAGTCTCCTGACACACCGAGGACACATGGTGATGTAGAGAAGACATCACTCTGTGAGTCTCCTGACACACCGAGGACACATGGTGATGTAGAGAAGACATCACTCTGTGAGTCTCCTGACACACCGAGGACACATGGTGATGAAGAGAAGACATCACTCTGTGAGTCTCCTGACACACCGAGGACACACGGTGATGTAGAGGAGACATCACTCTGTGAGTCTCCTGACACACCGGGGACACACGGTGATGTAGAGAAGACATCACTCTGTGAGTCTCCTGACACACCGGGGACACATGGTGATGTAGAGAAGACATCACTTTGTGAGTCTCCTGACACACCGGGGACACATGGTGATGTGGAGAAGACATCACTTTGTGAGTCTCCTGACACACCGGGGACACATGGTGATGTAGAGGAGACATCACTCTGTGAGTCTCCTGACACACCGGGGACACATGGTGATGTAGAGAAGACATCACTCTGTGAGTCTCCTGACACACCGGGGACACATGGTGATGTAGAGGAGACATCACTCTGTGAGTCTCCTGACACACCGAGGACACATGGTGATGAAGAGAAGACATCACTCTGTGAGTCTCCTGACACACCGGGGACACATGGTGATGTAGAGAAGACATCACTTTGTGAGTCTCCTGACACACCGGGGACACACGGTGATGTAGAGAAGACATCACTCTGTGAGTCTCCTGACACACCGAGGACACACGGTGATGTAGAGGAGACATCACTTTGTGAGTCTCCTGACACACCGGGGACACATGGTGATGTGGAGAAGACATCACTTTGTGAGTCTCCTGACACACCGAGGACACATGGTGATGTAGAGGAGACATCACTTTGTGAGTCTCCTGACACACCGAGGACACATGGTGATGTAGAGGAGACATCACTTTGTGAGTCTCCTGACACACAGAGGACACATGGTGATGTAGAGGAGACATCACTTTGTGAGTCTCCTGACACACCGAGGACACATGGTGATGTAGAGGAGACATCACTTTGTGAGTCTCCTGACACACCGAGGACACATGGTGATGTAGAGAAGACATCAGAAAGTGACCTTGCATGATAGGAGACTTTTAATACAGGTGTAGTAACTGCTTTACCTGAGGGGGGAGGACTGGCTCGGAGACCGTGACCTCATCCGAACTAGGTCTGAACGAGCGTTCTGATTGGACGCCATCATGACCTGTTCAGGCACTGATTGGGTGGAGCTGTGGAAGTCCCGCCCACTCAGCCGGTAGTCTGCATGGAAAAAAATTAAATCAATAAATCATACTTATACATATAGTATATTGAATGTTGAGCTGCAGTGCATGCTGGGAGGTGTAGTTCACCTGAGACGACCCCGATGCCATCCTCTTCTAACTCACTGATCCTGGGAGCGCCTGAGAAACAGAGAGGTTAAATTACATGAATCTATAACACACACACACACACACACACACACACACACACACACACACACACACACACACACACACACACACACACACACACACACACACACACACACACACACACACACACACACACACACACACACACACACACACACACACACACACACACACACACACACACACACACACACACACACACACACACACAACCTGCGTAATAGTGTGGACCTTTGCAGTGGCGGCTGGTGGAAATTATTTTAGGTGGGGCTATTACCACACGGGGAACATTTTGAGGAATGACCCCTTAAATGATGACTTCTGGTGATGTTAGAGGGGGGGGGGGGAAGGACAAATTGAGAAGACTGATCAATACCTCCATAATCTTCAGTGTGGTTAGCTATGAACCTTCCAAACACCGTGTCCTGGACATAGTTTCTACTGTGCAACAGCAGGCCCACACAAACTGCAGAACAGCGGTTCTTTGGGAACACTCAAATGATTTAATTCCCATTTAAAATCAGGAGACTAAATACGAACATTATATGCAGACACAGCCGTGGTTCAGAAACACAGAAATATTAGAAAATAGACCATTAAGGCAACAAATCTAGTTTGATGGATGCTGTCACAACTCAACTATATACAATAATATGTGTGTGTGTGTGTGTGTGTGTATGTGTGTGTCGGCTGTTGAAGAGCGAGCATGGGAAACAAAAGACAGCGTGTACCTGTTTGCATCCAGCTAGTCACACACAGTAACAATCACACTCCCTGTCATTGACCTCATTAATAGATTAGCTTCTCACCATCTTGGCTGTGGCGCACTGATGTTAACGAGTAACTGAAAGGCTACCTGTCAAGCGTAAACATTCAGACACGTGACTCGCAAACTCTCGCGAGAGTTTTACACAAGACGGATCCTTTCTAGCCATAACCAACTCACAGACTGCATCGGGCGCTGACATTGCCGTCCTTTGAGCATCAGATCTGACGACGTTGATTGGCTGAAACTATGTGTCGGCGGCATAGTTTACAGATAGCAACAGTCAGCAATGTGTTGGCTGCTGCTGGGGCTGAGTGAGGGCTCCTTTCTTAGCGCCCAGACGAGAGAGGGCTCTTTCTACACGCCGGCCAGGCAGTGACTTATCAGTATATTTAGACATCGTAACACAATTTGAAACGAGATTTTATTTTAGATTATACATTTTACTGATACCAACTATATAATATTTACCTTGTTCATTACAAATAAAAATAAAATATATTTTTTATTTTATTTTGAATGACAATCAAACATGTGGGAAGAGGGGGGGCGGAGCCCCTAGCGCCCCTATGGGCCGGCCGCCACTGGACCTTTGTCTGGCAAAGCATCATGGGAAAAAAGTTAAACAGAAGAAAAAACAAGATGAAGAAATGTATAAAGGACATGGAATAAATGTTATAACTAGGGCTGTCAGTCGATTAAAATATTTAATCGCGATTAATCGCAAATTAATCGCACATTTTTTATCTGTTCTAAATGTACCTTAGAGGAATATTTTTTAAGTTTTTAATACTCTTATCAACATATGAGTGGACAAATATGCTTTATGCAAATGTTTATTATCATTTGAACAATGACAAATATTCTCATGAATATTAAACACAACAACCTGGAACCTCTCTCATTCAATAATACAATACAAAGTGTGTGTCTGTGCGTGTGTGTGTGTGTGTTTGTGTGATGGATCGTTGGAGCTATGTGCAACTCAAGGCACATGCTCGAACGGGAGCTGCCTGGACGCTGCAGTCATGTTGCACTATCCGTGCTGAGTGTGCTGACTTCTCGTACAATGTCCCACTGTCTGGCTTCCTGCATAAAGTCAAGTGCTCGGCGCAGTTGTGGCGAAATGTCGCTCCTCTGTTTTCATTTAAACAGCTCCTTATATCCGTTAGCGCAGCTAGCTAGCACCAGATGCTAACAACAACAATATACGTAAGGTCTCTCCCGGTCCTCCCAATAGCCAGTTGGTGCCTGCCGGTGAGCGTGGAAGTGTGGTCTGCCACAAGCGGGCGGCAGGAGCGGGGCTGTCAGCATCAGCTTGTAGATGGTATTTTAAACTCGATGTGCTCTGAAACTACGGGGCGGCCGAGGACAAAAATACACATGCGTTAATCGCGTTAAAATAATTAGTGGCGTTACATTTTTTTGCCGTTAATGCGTTATTAACGCGTTAACTTGACAGCCCTAGTTATAATATAACCATCAAAGTGTGTGTGTGTGTGTGTGTGTGTGTGTGTGATTGTGTGTGTGTATGTGTGTGTGTGTGTGTGTGTGTGTGTGTGTGTGTGTGTGTGTGTGTCTCACTCTGCAGACCCCTCCTCTGCAGGATGGGGGGGGGTGATGGGCAGCTGCAGTTTGTACCAGTGAGGCTGATCATCCAGGAGAGCCGAGTCCAGCTGGACGATCACCTGGGGGGAGTAACTGTACATTTACTCAAGTACTTCCACTACAGTTCAGAGGTACATGGTGTACTTCTACTCCACTACAGTTCAGAGGTACATGGTGTACTTCTACTCCACTACAGTTCAGAGGTACATGGTGTACTTCTACTCCACTACAGTTCAGAGGTACATGGTGTACTTCTACTCCACTACAGTTCAGAGGTACATGGTGTACTTCTACTCCACTACAGTTCAGAGGTACATGGTGTACTTCTACTCCACTACAGTTCAGAGGTACACGGTGTACTTCTCCTCCACTACATGTATTTAATACCTTTAGTTACTTCACAGATCAGGATGAATGATGTGAAATCTAATCAAGTGTTGAATCAGACTTTAGTTCCACCTGGAGTAAATCCACCAGCTACCCTGCAGTATACAAAGCCATTCAAACTAGCTACACCTTTATGGGCTCAGAACACACACATGCACACAGAAGGATCCACACGTGTGTTTTTCAATGCACACACAAATGTGTTCCGTTTCATATTCATGTAAATAAAATCCAAATACAGAAAAAAGTTTTACATATGTATTTTTGATCCTCACATATTAGCTTTCCGTTTAAATCCCCTGCACCTGCAAACAGTGGCGGCACCAGAGATTTTCTCTTGGGGGTGCTGTGGGGTTTCACAGAGGGTGCTCAAACATGAAGGGTTTCCCATTAATGCACCAGAGCTACAGATGAATGTTCTACTGCATCAGCAGAGCTTGAATGAAACACAGAGACCCAGAAGTAAGCTACTTGTACTCACGAGGCAGAATCCCTCTCGCTTTCAGGTGGTTTTGATTGAGTGTCCACACGTGGACGTTTAAGGACTAAAAAACGATCAATTTTTCACTTTGCTGTTAGCAAATCATTTTTCGCTCTAGCTAACAGGAAGTCACTCAAGTGTCACAAAGTCATTTAGCCTATGGGTAGGTCAAAAATCGAATGGGTGCTGGCCATTGGCCTAATCATATCACCTGTGTTGGCTTTATGTTTTTGGTCAAACATTTGTTTGTTTCACATTTGCATGTAATCAATCATTTTAATAATTTAATAAAAATAATAATAATGATTTTTTTTTAAAACAAAAAAAAGCACCCCCTAGCCCCCCCCTGGCGCCGCCCCTGCCTGCAAACACAAACCGCTCTCTGTGCATGGATCGCTGTGCTCGTGGGGGCGCGCTCGTGTGATTGGCTTAGAATGAAGGAGACATCTGATTGGCTATAGATAGAAACAATTACAAGTACGAATCGGCTGACCGTCAGGGGAGTCTCAAAAAACCCACACACGAATGCACAGCGATCCGTGCACAGCGATCCGTGCACAGCGATCCGTGCACAGAGCTGGTTGTGTTTGCAGGTGCAGGGGATTTAAACGGAAAGCTAATATGTGAGGATCAAAAATACATCTGTAAAACTTTTTTCTGTATTTGTATTTTATTTCCATGAATATGAAACGGAACACATTTGTGTGTGCATTGAAAAAGAATGGGGATCCTTCTGTGTGCACGTGTGTGTTATGAGACTGTTCTGAGCCCATACACCTTTACCAGCTTTGAGAACACTTTCATGATCAATCATTATAAAACATATCATATATATTATTCTGAAATGGACCAATCTGCACAACGAATACTTTTACTGTCTTTCACTATATTTTGATGAGAATACTTTTCTACTTTCACTTGAATGCAGGACTTTACTGTAACAGAGTATTCCTACACTCTGGTACTTCTACTTGTACTCAAGTACAAGATCTGAGTACTTCTACTTTTACTCAAGTACAATATCTGAGTACTTCTACTTTTACTCAAGTACAATATCTGAGTACTTCTACTTTTACTCAACTACAAGATCTGAGTACTTCTACTTTTACTCAAGTACAAGATCTGAGTACTTCTACTTTTACTACAAGATCTGAGTACTTCTACTTTTACTCAAGTAGGCTACCAGATCTGAGTACTTCTACTTTTACTACAAGATCTGAGTACTTCTACTTTTACTACAAGATCTGAGTACTTCTACTCGCCCCCTCCCCTCTGATTGGTTACCTCCCGAGCAGTAGCCCCTCCCCCCTGATTGGTTACCTCCCCCAGCAGTAGCTCCTCCCCCCGGATTGGTTACATCCCCCAGCAGTAGCTCCTCCCCCCTGATTGGTTAACTCCCCCAGCAGTAGCTCCTCCCCCCTGATTGGTTGCCTCCCCCAGCAGTAGCTCCTCCCCCCTGCTTGTTTACCTCCCCCAGCAGTAGCTCCTCCCCCCCCTGGTCCCAGGCAGTCAGCTCCAGGTTCCTCTCCCTCAGGTCTCTGTTCTGCACGGAGGAGAACATGAAGGTCTGGTTCCATCGAGGATCCAGAGACTTTCTGACTGTCTTCGTCCTGCGGTAGCTCCGATCACTGAGGGAGGGGGGAGAGAGAGGGAAGGGGGGAGAGAGAGGGAAGGGGGGAGAGAGAGGGAAGGGGGGAGAGGGTCTGTCAATCAGAGACTCATCACTGAGGGGGGGGGGGAGAGGGGGGGGCGCAGCAAAATGAGATGAAGACGGCCTCCTGACGACACTTTGGCTCAAAAATACTTTACATTAGGAAAGAGATAATAAGGGCTAAATGATAGGAGGCGGGGCTTAATGACAGGAGGCGGGACTTCTTTATTGTTCCCTTTATTATTTTATACGGTTTTATATTTTGAGCATACGCATAAAGCTGTTTGGCTCCTCTTTTATTCTGAAAGGTCTTCCCCCTCACTTCCTGTGTGCACACGACCCTGTTTACCTGAGGATTAGCTATCAGAACCGGTTCTCATGTGTTCACCTGCGGTCCGGCAGGAAGTAGATCTTAAAGAAAGGGTTCTCATGTTCTCACCTGCGGTCCGGCAGGAAGTAGATCTTAAAGAACGGGTTCTCATGTTCTCACCTGCGGTCCGGCAGGAAGTAGATCTTAGCGAACGGGTTCCTTGGTCGGCTGTCGGCCCGGACAGGAAGCTCTTTTGCTCCAAGAACTGTCACGATCAGCTGATGGCCCACTTTATCATACCAGAGCTTCACCTGGAAGAGAACAAAACACTGGAGAACACTGGAGAACCCAGAGGAGAACCCAGAGAGGAGAACCCAGAGAGGAGAACCCAGAGAGGAGAACCCAGAGAGGAGAACCCAGAGAGGAGAACCCAGAGAGGAAAACCCAGACAGGAGAACCAAGAGAGAGGAAGTAAGAGAGAGGAACCCCAAGGAGAACAAAGAGAGGAGAACCCCCAGAGGAGAACCCCCAGAGGAGAACCCCCAGAGGAGAACCCAGAGGAGAACCCCCAGAGGAGAACCCAGAGGAGAACCCAGAGGAGAACCCAGAGAGGAGAACCCAGAGAAGAGAACCCAGAGAGGAGAACCAAGAGAGAGGAAGTAAGAGAGAGGAACCCCAAGGAGAACAAAGAGAGGAGAACCTAGAGGAGAACCCCCAGAGGAGAACCCCCAGAGGAGAACCCCCAGAGGAGAACCCAGAGGAGAACCCAGAGAGGAGAACCCAGAGAGGAGAACCCAGAGAGGAGAACCCAGAGAGGAGAACCAAGAGAGAGGAAGTAAGAGAGAGGAACCCCAAGGAGAACAAAGAGAGGAGAACCTAGAGGAGAACCCCCAGAGGAGAACCCCCAGAGGAGAACCCAGAGGAGAACCCCCAGAGGAGAACCCAGAGGAGAATCCAGAGGAGAACCCAGAGGAGAACCCCCAGAGGAGAACCCAGAAGAGAACCCAGAGAGGAGAACCCAGAGAGGAGAACCCAGAGAGGAAAACCCAGACAGGAGAACCAAGAGAGAGGAAGTAAGAGAGAGGAACCCCAAGGAGAACAAAGAGAGGAGAACCTAGAGGAGAACCCCCAGAGGAGAACCCCCAGAGGAGAACCCCCAGAGGAGAACCCAGAGGAGAACCCACAGAGGAGAACCCAGAGGAGAACCCAGAGGAGAACCCAGAGGAGAACCCAGAGGAGAACCCCCAGAGGAGAACCCCCAGAGGAGAACCCAGAGGAGAACCCAGAGGAGAACCCAGAGGAGAACCCAGAGGAGAACCCCCAGAGGAGAACCCAGAGGAAAACCCCCAGAGGAGAACCCACAGGAGAACCCAGAGGAGAACCCCCAGAGGAGAACCCCCAGAGGAGAACCCAGAGGAGAACCCAGAGGAGAACCCAGAGGAGAACCCAGAGGAAAACCCCCAGAGGAGAACCCAGGGGAGAACCCACAGGAGAACCCAGAGGAGAACCCACAGGAGAACCCAGAGGAGAACCCCTCTACAGTACCTGGATCCTGGGGACCAGAGGACGTCTGTTGCCGGTCTGAAACACATCACCATGGAAACGCAGTTAACTGAGAGCTGATTGGCTGATGTGCAGTGCATGCTGGGTAAACTTACAGAAACCTGGTTGGAGAGAACGCCGGGGCTGATGGGTAAACCTGGAGAGAAGCAAACACTTTCAGTCTCTGGGCTTTTCTCAATGTCGAGTACACCGGCTGCAGAGCCACTATTTCAAGTATACTTCGTCATCGAGTGGCGCCGAAGGACTGTTCCAAAGCCCAGCATTCGGCGCCACTCGATGACGAAGTATACTTGAAATAGTGGCTCTGCAGTGTACTCAACATGGAGAAACGGCCTCTGTGTGGGCCTTGTTGTCTGGTGTTAGTGGTTGTTGTGTCGTGTTGTGAAAATCCTGAACGTCCTCTTCTAATCTGAGAGCAACATGCTAACAAAGCTATCCCAACTGTAGCTGTGAACATGACAGGATGTGTGATTACTGTTGTGAGTTTTCATAGCATGTTTAATACTTAAAAACGAAAGTTAGTTATAATCAAATATAATCAAATATATTCTTGTATAACCCACAATGAACATGCTTCATATTTTAGGTTTTCTATAGTACAGTATAAACAAAACAAAGTGGTTTGTGTAGGTTGAGTGTGTAGGGGAAAATGATATATGGGTGTCTGTGAAAAGAGTTGGCCGTTTTTCTCTCTCTCTCCTCTGGCAGCAGTACACAAGGGGGGGGGGGGTTTAGGCCATAAAAGCTATGGAACATGTCGAGTCATGTTTTTAGCCCTGTACAGTAGAAGCCATGCCCAGTTTTTCCTGATGTGGGTGTGGAAGAGGCGTTTTGGAAAATGTTATCGGGGTTTTTGTGCATAAAAGACAGGGGTGAGAGTAAAAAGCTTCAGAGCTGGGTTAATAGCTCTCGGTAAGGTCCTCCCAGACGGGGTAAATATCTCTCGAATTTATTGGTTGTTGGCTGAGTGGAATGATTTGATGAGTGAAAAAGTGTATGGAATGTTATAAATACTGCCATCTGTGAGGAAAATCTCCCCTCCGAAATTGCAGACAGGAATGGGTTTTTAAATGTTATATCCGCCGTCTGTGTCGGAAAAAGTGTATGAAACTGAAGTGAATAAATGGGTGAATGAAAAGTTGAATGCGCTTTTTATTGTCACCGGTCTTTTTACGAGGAAATACCTCTAAATTCTATCGGGAGAATTTTAAAATGTCACAACTGAAATGGGCAGTTGAAATTAAAACATTTTGGTAATAAATGTAAGACTGTGAATTAAAGTTTCATTTGAACATGATCACAGCACGGTTTTTTTTGTTAGTATGATTATAATGTTGTAAAGAGAGAAGGAATAAACCCTGTATTAGTTTGGACCTATTTTTCTTCAAATAAACTGAATCCCACCTGTTGGATTGGGATCCTTTAAAAGACACCTGTGCTCTCCTCTCCTGCGTCAAAGGTAAGATTGCACCCTGCCACACACACTTAGGTAGGAGCACACTCCATTTACTGATATCAAAATCCTTCGGGATCGCTTAAACAGATTAAAAGAGAGTTGTCTGAATTGAAACAGCAGTTAATTGAACCTGGTTCTTCGGGGGGGTTAGGAAGAGGTGAGATCTTGCTGACGTTGGTGGATCTGAGCCACGCAGCAAACTTACATAGACTCAATAATCTTCGGAAAGGTCAATTAGGAGGTCAGAATAATTTGCCGGAATAAATTATCAGGACCTCTCATACTCTAAACATTACCTAGAAGAGCATCAGGACTGTTTGAGGCATGTGATAGCTATGTGATTAACATGATGATTCAGCCTCTATGGAGACAGACATCAAGCATGCTCATTTCTGACGTGGAGCTAACCTGAAGTAAACATTGTATAGCAGTAGTTGTGTGTCTGTGTTGATGAACTTACTGGAGTCCAGCAGGAAGCCGTCTGTTCTGGAAACCTCTCTGAGGAACAGAAGAGTAATGTGTCAACAGAACATCAGGTGTGTGTGTGTGTGTGTGTGTGTGTGTGTGTGTGTGTGTGTGTGTGTGTGTGTGTGTGTGTGTGTGTGTGTGTGTGTGGTGTGTGTGTGTGTGTGGGTGTACCTGAGGGGGCGGGACACCATCAGCCCCACCTGAGGCTCAGGTTGCGAGTCCAGGATAACGTTGTAGACTTCGTTAAACGAGGCTCCCTGCAGAACCTGACCGTTCCACTCCAGAACCTGATCACCTGAGAGAGGGTTAGTTCAGGTGTGTGTGTGTGTGTGTGTGTGTGTGTGTGTGTGTGTGTGTATGTGTGTGTTACCTGGTCTCAGCTGCCCCACAGTGTCAGCCAGACTTCCTTTCTTCACCTTGGTGATGAACGCACAGAGACGACCAGACTCTGTCATCTTCCCCCCAACAACCTGAACACATGAGCAAAGTAACAGAGAGGAGGATGAGGAGGAGAATGAGGAGGAGAGAGAGGAGGAGGAGGAGGAGGAGGAAGAGGAGGAGGAGTCTCACCTTGAGTCCCAGCAGCGCTCCGGTGTCTGCAGGAATCGACCCGTCCTTCATCCTCTTGTTCAGCACGATCCGACCAATCAGACGCTCTCCATCCTTTGACGGTTGCCAGGTGACCGGATGCTGATGAGAATGTAAAAACGTGTGGTCGCTAAGCAACAGCATCAGTTGATTTCACCAATATGTGACACCTGACAGGAAGGAGGGGGCGGGGCTTAGATGGGCGGGGCTTACCAAAGACATCGGTGCAGCCTCGCCGTCCCACCATTGGCCGTTCATGTCTCCTAGCAACAGGACACATGGGTCAGAGGTCAGACTTCCTGTTCCACACACACACACACACACACACACACACACACACACACACACACACACACACACACACACACACACACACACACACACACACACACACACACACACACACACACACACACACACACACAAACTTCATCTCCTCCCCCCCTCTGTGTGCTGCTCTACAGGTACATGGCACAGCTTAACCTCAGAGAGACTCAACGTGTCACCTCTAATCCCTCTGTACTAAGCAGCTTCACACACACACACACACACACACACACACACACACACACACACACACACACACACACACACACACACACACACACACACACACACACACACACACACACACACACACACACACACACACACACACACACACACACACACACACACACACACACACACACACACACACACACACCACTTCAGGGGACATTACATTGACGTACATGCATTTCCTGGAGACTTATCCTAACCAAGTCTTCACCCTAAAATGAATGATTCCCCTCCCTTATGGGGACCTCCATTGTGTCCCCATAAGGGAGGCGAGTCCCCACACGTGACTGTGTAAACAGATTTAGGTCCCCACAAGGATCGTAATGCAACACACACACACACACACACACACACACTCAAAGAGTACTCACAGGTGTGTCTGAGGGCCATGAAGGAGGCGGGGCTTCAGAAGAGGTGCTGTTTGCTGCTTCTCACGCCTTCCTGTAACTTCCTGTCTCCGAGCCCATGGTTGTGGCCCAATAGTCCAAAAATCAGCTCCTCTCGTCTCCTCCTCTCCTCTGAGTGAAAGGTCACGGGGTTAAGGGATAGTGGATAGGAGAATCCAAAAGGACTTAGGAGAAGAGACTGCGGTACTTTAGAGAATCGACTGCACTTTCACTCTCCCACGTGTTTCTGATGCGCCAGCGGACGTCCTGAATGAGCGTCTGCTGCTGTGGGGAAACTATGGAGACTACAGTTCTCTATACAGCGGACTACAACATGGATGTTCAATAAGAACGAGGGACTCCTGTGAACTCATCTAGAGACTCTGTGCTCTGATGCTGCTGCTTTATGCTTTATGAACGTGGACAACAGAGAAACAGATTCTTCAGGACCAAAGCTGGAATTGAAATAAAAAGGAAAGTGAAGCTTCTGCTCGTCACCCCTCTCCCTCCGGTCCACGTTAAAACAAATGATCCCAATACGTATGATTGATGGAAAGATCTTAAATCAATACAGATGTATTTATTATAAACGTTAGTCCTTAACATCTATCTCTGTGTATATCACCATTCAAACATCTTTTAAAAGTTGAACAAACCCCACAGCTCAGTAAAGACTGTGAGATGTTGACTTTATTTGATCATTTCAGTAAAAACTAACGTTCATATTTCTCTCTTTGATTATAATACTGATGATAATTGGACTATTGGACCGCAACCAAGACCGAGGTCATCTTTTTTGGACCCCAACCAACAGCCTCCCCGGTTGATATTCTGGGCTCCCTCAATAAAAACATCCTCCCCTCTGTCATGAACCTTGGAGTGACCTTCAACAGCGCCTTTAAATTTGATAAGCAGGTTAGCACCGTAGTCAAGACCTGCTTTTTCAAAATACGACTATTGGCTAAGACCAAGTCGTTCTTATCTTTTAAAGACCTAGAAAGGGTTATTAACACCTTTGTGACCTCGAGACTGGATTACTGCAACGCTCTGTATGTGGGTATGGACCAGGCCTCAATTAGACGCCTGCAGCTGGTTCAGAATGCAGCTGCACGTCTTCTAACTGGCCATAAAAAGCGTGACCACATCACCCCAACTCTGGCCTCACTGCACTGGCTTCCAGTTCGGTTCAGAATAGATTTTAAACTCCTTTTATTCGTTTTCAAAGCCCTAAATGGGCTGGCTCCTCCTATATAGCCTCCATGTGAGGTCGGCCCAGACCCTGGGGTTTTTTAAATCAACACTAAAGACTCACTTCTTCTTCCTGGCCTTCTAGTCAGAGCGGAGCACGACACCTGACTTTTCCCTGTGTTTTTGTTTTTTATATTTCTGTTGTCAATTATTGTCTTTTATTGTGATTGTAGTAATGTGTTTTTATTACATGTACAGCACTTTGGCTCCACCAAACATCGCTTTTAAATGTGCTTTATAAATACAACTTGATTTGATGAACGTTAAAAAACAAAGCACTTTGGCAACTTACCACATACGTTTTAAAATGCTTAATAAGCACCGTAACTTTCATGATATAATTTCTCCGTCATAATCGGTTGTTTCCGTGAACGGCCGACTGTTGAGTGACGGCAAATGCTGCGGCTGCAATGCATTGTGGGGCAGCATTTTATCCTCTCCTCTCGGTGAGGGAGGTCCAGTGGTTCCTAAGCTAAAGGAGGCTATAAAGGAAGTTTGAAACCTCCTTTCCTATCATGTAGAGAATTCGAACGGCACTTATCATGGCTGCCACTGAGGGACTTTCGGGTCATTTCACTCCGTTAGGAAGGTTCCTAAGCTAAATGGACTATTGGGCCGCAACCCATCTCTCTGTCTGTTAGCTCAAACTAGCTTCCTGCTGACTGCTGCTGCTAACCTGTTGTTAGCCTGCTGTTAGCCTGTTGTTATGCTGCTGTTAGCCTGCTGTTATGCTGCTGTTAGCCTGTTGTCAGCCTGTTGTTAGCCTGTTGTTATGCTGCTGTTAGCCTGCTGTTATGCAGCTGTTAGCCTGTTGTTAGCCTGCTGTTAGCCTGTTGTTAGCCTGTTGTTATGCTGCTGTTAGCCTGTTGGTATGCTACTGTTAGCCTGTTGTTAGCCTGTTGTTATGCTGTTGTTAGCCTGCTGTTATGCTGCTGTTAGCCTGTTGTTAGCCTGCTGTTAGCCTGTTGTTAGCCTGTTGTTATGCTGCTGTTAGCCTGTTGGTATGCTACTGTTAGCCTGTTGTTAGGCTGCTGTTAGCCTGTTGGTATGCTACTGTTAGCCTGTTGTTAGCCTATTGTTATGCTGCTGTTAGCCTGTTGGTATGCTACTGTTAGCCTGTTGTTAGGCTGTTGTTAGACTGTTGGTATGCTACTGTTAGCCTGTTGTTAGCCTATTGTTATGCTGCTGTTAGCCTGTTGTTATGCTGCTGTTAGCCTGTTGTTAGTCTGCTGTTAGCCTACTGTTATGCTGCTTTTAGCCTGTTGTTAGTCTGCTGTTAGCCTGCTGTTATGCTGCTGTTAGCCTGTTGTTAGCCTGCTGTTAGCCTGCTGTTATGCTGCTGTTAGCCTGTTGTTAGTCTGCTGTTAGCCTACTGTTATGCTGCTGTTATGCGGCTGTTAGCCTGTTGTTATGCTACTGTTAGCCTGTTGTTATGCTGCTGTTAGCCTGTTGTTATGCTGCTGTTAGCCTGTTGTTATGCTGTTGTTAGCCTGCTGTTATGCTACTGTTAGCCTGTTGTTAGCTTACTGTTAGCCTGCTGTTATGCTACTGTTAGCCTGTTTTTAGCCTGTTGTTATGCTGCTGTTAGCCTGTTGTTATGCTACTGTTAGCCTGCTGTTATGCTGCTGTTAGCCTGCTGTTATGCTACTGTTAGCCTGTTGTTATGCTACTGTTAGCCTGTTGTCAGCCTGTTGTTAGCCTGCTGTTATGCTACTGTTAGCCTGTTGTCAGCCTGTTGTTAGCCTGCTGTTATGCTACTGTTAGCCTGTTGTTAGCCTGTTGTTAGCCTGCTGTTAGCCTGCTGTTAGCCTACTGTTAGCCTGCTGTTATGCTACTGTTAGCCTGTTGTTAGCCTGTTGTTAGCCTGTTGTTAGCCTGCTGTTAGCCTGCTGTTAGCCTGTTGTCAGCCTGCTGTTATGCTGCTGTTAGCCTGCTGTTAGCCTGTTGTTATGCTGCTGTTAGCCTGCTGTTATGCTACTGTTAGCCTGTTGTTAGCCTGTTAAAGCCTGCTGTTATGCTACTGTTAGCC